CATAAAGTATACTTTAATAAATATAAAGTATATAGTATACTGCCCCATTGTTAAGTTTAGTGTCCTGGAGATCCCGGCAAGGCTTCCTATAAAACGTACTCTCTATATAATAGTAAAACATAAAAAAAAATTAGTAATGTAATATTAACCTTATGTCTAAATTGCACAAACTTCATCTTAAGTAGAATATAAGAATGAAATATTTCAGACATTCAGCACAGCAACCGTTTGAATCACGTAATTAGTATGGACGAAACACGTTCTGACATATCGCTCTTAGTATCCTAGGTAGAAAGAAATCAAAATAACTGCTAATTTAATGATGACACATTTTAGTTCTATTAATAGCAATTCAAGTTGACCCACTGCTATCCGACACGATGCCCAGGAATTAAGGGCATTACAACTACTTTCTAAATAAGTGGACTCTCAAAAAGTCAGGGGTATTTGTACGGAGAGCAATGTTCGTTTTTGAGCTTTTGAGAACCTTCATAGAGCAAATTCACGTGCGGTCATCGTGGGTCGTCATCCGATCAGGGGAGTGAAAAAACCGACGTCGAAGGATATCAATAGGCTCAACTGTGGCGCATCGGTAAAATTCATCCCGGTAGTCAGCGTTCGTATCATTAGTCAAGTAAACTTTTTTCCGTATAAGGACAATCTCTCTGTGTTATTCGATTATTTGCTTGTGAAGCGGCATTTTCTCGTGAGAAAGGCTGATGCCGATACCGATTTCATGCCTCAGGATGAACTCAATTCATCATGGATTTGGAGAGATACATCCATGAGGAATAACAGCTGTACGCCATACTGAATTTGCTAATGAAGTACGTTCTAAATAAAACTTATTTTTCTAAGCTGCTAAACCAGATTTGCCAGCATGAGGTTGAGGATTCAATTTTTATCTAAGCTTTATGGACTATTTAAAATTGATCGATTTTTTGGTATTCGCAGATTTCGCGTTTGACTGTTTTTAACAAGTTCATATTCGCTCTGTGTCTAAAATGATTTTCGAAAGAGTAAATTACCAAAAAAATCATTTGTATGGCACAATCTGGCTTCACGGAAAAACGCTAACTGAGCCTGAATGATCGGAACTTAATTATCATAATGGCTCACAAGCGAATCCGCCTTTTGTGATATTGTTTTTCTAAAAAAATATCCGCTACACGATTGCCCTGATATACACACAGCATGCTCCAGCTTACGCCATTATGCGGCTATTAATGTTCCCCACTGTCAACCGATCTGAAGAGCTTCGGTGGTGGCTCGCATTCATTATCATATTTAGGCCATTGCGTTCATACCGTACCTTTAGCGTAAAAGAGTGGGATCTATCACCTACAAAATGTCCGAATCTAGTTATCGTTGGTTTTTTCATGATTCTCTTTCGTATGATCGACCAGTACAAAAAATACTCTAGACTAACAACGTTGCTCTCGTTCTAGATGTAGATCTGATCGACGTCTTACTCTGCTTCTTAAGTAATATAGAGGTGCACTACCTTCCAGCAATACATATATTTGAGAATTTTAAGACCATTTTAAAGTGTAGTATAGAAGCCAACTGCGCTCGTTAAAGCCCTGAATAATCTATCGAATATATTAGGTTGATTTGTGACCTCAGTAATGTGCGGATGGAGTCCTGCAAATAATCTGCCTAGCGAAAGCGTTTTCGAGACAAAGCATTAATACGCGGGCCTGCACAGAGTCTTCGCAACGTCCTTGGCGGATAGTTAACCTACCGAATTGGGCCTCTTGTTAGCCCTAACTTTTAACTGTCTACCATACAGACAGTCAAACAGCGAAATATTTAGTTATCGATTTTGTAACTATATAATTTCAGTATTAGCCTTGGAGGGGAAACGTAGAGAAGCCCAAACATACGTATTCAGAATAACGCGTTGACTCGTCGTACGTAACATGCAGTAAGCAAATTGCGTCATGCTGAATAGTGAGGGCGTGCTATTCATCACCTAACAGCCCTTTCAGAGCGAGGTAGATGAATGAGATCAACTATAATCTTCTCGAAAAAAACGCGCGTGGTCGTCTTCTGAGCGACAGGCACACAGCAATCAATGTTTAGCTTCGTATGCGGAAAACTCTTGGGTTTGTTGGGCAACTTATAGGCTATGAACGCTTCATTCTGAAAATTCCAGCGGTTACCAGCGGATGATTCGAGAATAATGCTACCGCCCTGTCA